AGACAAAACTAGTGAGAATCCTAAGTATTAAAATGATTCAACTTAGCTTATGGCTATCATTTTTCTTGGTAATCCTATGCAATATATTATGCCATTTAGGCTTTGTTATGTAGTCAATATCACTTGCTTTATATTTGTGGAAAGACATCTATCTATATAATTATTGTGCATTATGTAGCCATTACGCCTATAGTAGAAAACTTTCCGTTTACAGAAAAACTAGAGCCAATTGACAAATTTCATTGTTATATTTGAACTCAGAATGTGGAATTCATTAAGAAATGGATCCTTTTGTTTCCAAAACTGGCAAAAAATAAAAATTTGTTGAACAGTGAAATCGGGCCGATCGGGGAAAATTCGATTCGTGCATCCGAAGTTTGCTAATTTTCGGATTCGGCGCGAATCGAATTTTTCCTAATATTCGAAACGAATTCCACTTCGCCAAGTTCGATTCGCTCATCTCTACTTTTGACAGTATAGTGTATATATATCTAATTCCGTTGTTTCCCGGGTGTTCTCTATAGCGGATTATTATGTTTTTTTATATAATATATAAGGATTCTATAACAGAGAAGACCAGGAAGTGACATTAGAAGGTTACATTTAGAGATGAGCGAATTTCTCAAAAATTCGATTCGGCTGATTCGGCGAATTCCAGTGTGAAATTCGATTCGATGCGAATTTCTTCGCTACGAAGATGACTTATAAAAAGGGTTTCTAGGCTTCAGAGAGCCTTTAAATTAGTGCAGAACACTGTACCTTTAATTTAAATGCCCTTGGAGATGAGGAAAGAGAAGGAGAAGGAGAAGGAGAAGGATGAGAAGAAGGAGAAGGATGAGAAGAAGGAGAAGGAGAAGGATGAGAAGAAGGAGAAGGATGAGAAGAAGGAGAAGGAGAAGGATGAGAAGAAGGAGAAGGATGAGAAGAAGGAGAAGGAGAAGGATGAGAAGAAGGAGAAGGAGAAGGATGAGAAGAAGGAGAAGGAGAAGGATGAGAAGAAGGAGAAGGAGAAGGATGAGAAGAAGGAGAAGGAGAAGGATGAGAAGAAGGAGAAGGAGAAGGATGAGAAGGAGAAGGATGAGAAGAAGGAGAAGGATGAGAAGAAGGAGAAGGATGAGGAGAAGAAGGATGAGAAGAAGGAGAAGGAGAAGGATGAGAAGAAGGAGAAGGATGAGAAGAAAGAGAAGGAGAAGGATGAGAAGAAGGAGAAGGATGAGAAGAAGGAGAAGGATGAGAAGGAGGATGAGAAGAAGGAGAAGGATGAGAAGAAGGATGAGAAGAAGGAGAAGGATGATTCATCCTACTTCTTCTTCTTCTTCTTCATCCTCATCCTCTTCTTCTGAGGATGAAGATGAAGAAGAAGAAGAAGTAGGATGAAAAGAAGAATAATTCCAAGCCGGCAAAAAGTGTATGTGCAGAGTTCCTCTATTTCTGACAGTTCTCTGACAGCTTCTTCACATGTACAGCGGTTGAAACATCTGTATCCTAAATGGAAACTAATAGATACAATGTTTCAACCGCTAAACATGTGTTCCTTCTGTCAGAGAACTGTCAGAAATAGCGGAGCTCACTGCAGGGACACTTTTGCCGGCTGATCGGGAAATGTTCGATTCGCGCACCCGAAGTAGGCAAAATTTCGGTTTCGCCGCGAATCGAATATTTCCTGAAATTCAACTCGAATTCCGGTTCGCCTGGTTCGATTCGCTCATCTCTAGTTACATTGTATCCCTGGAACGACGATGACATTTCCCATCACACGGAACACCTGGAGATTGTAGTGAAGGGTTGTCAGCTATTTCCCGTCCTCTCAGATCCCAAAGGGCCCATTTCCTGTGCGTTGATGGAACGCGCACATTATTGCTGCGCACGTTAACACGCGTTGTGTCCATTGGCGCATTCAGGATGGCTTTACATCTATGCAGATTGCGGTAGATGCATTTTCCGGGGCCATTTTGCGTTTTTTTTTTTTTTTTCAAACCGTTTTTGATGGGGTTTTTTTTGCAATGCAGTTTGCGTTTTTTTTCTTTTATCAAACCCATTTTTTATGTGTTTTTTTTTCGTAATGCATTTTGCGTTTTATTTTTCAAACCTGTTTTTGATGCTTTTTTTTAATGAATTTTTGGGGGGGGTTTTCAAACCCGTTTGTTAAGCATTTTTTTTTACTTAATGCATTTTTGTGGGGGGGTTTTTTCATACTCTTTTTTTTTATGCATTTTGCTTTTTTTTTTTTAAACCCGTTTTTGATAGGGTTTTTTTTCCAATGCATTTTGCGTTTTTTTTCTTTTATCAACCTCGTTTTTTTTTATGTTTTTTTCTTACTGCATTTTGCGTTTTATTTTTCAAACGCGTTTTGATGCTTTTTTTTTAATGAATTTTGCGGCTTTTTTTTCAAACCCATTTGTTAAGCATTTTTTTTTACTTAATGCATTTTGTGGGTTTTTTTTTTTTCATACCCGTTTTTTTCTTTTTTTTTATGCATTTTGCGTTTTATTTTTTAAACCCGTTTTTTTGATTTTTTTTTTATGCATTTTGCAGGTTTTTTTTCATCAAACCTGTTTTTTCTGCATTTTTTTTCTTAATGCATTTTGCGTTTTATTTTTCAAACCCGGTATAGTATAGGAGGTAGAAGGGGGGGCAGTATAGGAGGTAGAAGGGGGGGTAGTATAGGAGGTAGAAGGGGGGGTAGTATAGGAGGTAGAAGGGGGGGCAGTATAGGAGGTAGAAGGAGGGATAGTATAGGAGGTAGAAGGGGGGGCAGTATAGGAGGTAGAAGGGGGGTAGTATAGGAGGTAGAAGGGGGGGCAGTATAGGAGGTAGAAGGGGGGGCAGTATAGGAGAAAAGAAGGGGGGGCAGTATAGGAGGTAGAAGGGGGGCAGTATAGGAGGTAGAAGGGGGGGCAGTATAGGAGATAGAAGGGGGGGCAGTATAGGAGAAAGAAGGGGGGGGGCAGTATAGGAGATAGAAGGGGGGGGTAGTATAAGAGGTAGAAGGGGGGGTAGTATAGGAGATAGAAGGGGGGGTGGTATAGGAGGTAGAAGGGGGGCGGTATAGAAGGTAGAAGGGGGGTAGTATAGGAGGTAGAAGGGGGGGCGGTATAGGAAGTAGAAGGGTGGTGGCGGGTATAGGAGGTAGAAGGGGGGGCGGTATAGGAGATAGAAGGGGGGGGTGGTATAGGAGGTAGAGGGGGGGTGGTATAGCAGGTAGAAGGGGGGGGTGGGTATAGCAGGTAGAAGGGGGGGGTGGTATAGCAGGTAGAAGGGAGGGCGGTATAGGAGGTAGAAGAGGGGGCTGTATAGGAGGTAGAAGGGGGGGGGGGGGACGGTATAGGAGGTAGAAGGGGGGGGGGCGGTATAGGAGGTAGAGGGGGGGGGCGATATAGGAGGTAGAAGGGGGGGCAGTATAGGAGGTAGAAGGGGGGGGGGCAGTATAGGAGGTAGAAGGGGGTGTGGCTTACTTAAGTATAGAATTGAATTCCGCTGCCATTTTTTATTTCACTGGCTGCATGCTCATTCTTGAAAAAAAAAAGAAAAGCTGCCAGGCAAGTGGCATTTTCAGGTCGAGAAGTCAGTGCTGTCAGTCCTTTATATTTGTCTCATTATAGGTTTCCTTTCATTTAAGGACGTCATGAAGGGCAGCCATGGCTGATCTTTCACTCAGGAAATACCATTTGCCTGGCTGTCATACTGACCCTCAGTAAAAGAGACTCTAAATGTGCAATGGATCGGCATGACAGCCAGGCAAATGGTATTTTCAGACAGAGCTGTCAGTCACTGTCTCCTTTCATAGAAGAGACACAACAGAGCTGTCAGTCACTGTGTCTCCTTTCATAGAAGAGACGCAACTTGCCGTCTCTGGAAATGCGTGCTGCCTGGTTTCCCCTTGAGCCTCAGTAAAAGTCTTTCTCAGGCACTAGGCATGTGCTCAGTAGTTCCTGGCTCAGCAGGACAGCCAGGCAGATGGTATTTTCAGACAGAGCAGCCTGTGTGTTTTTCTCCTCTCATTGAAGAGAGGCCCTTGTCATGCTCTCTGGAAATGCTGGTTGCCTGACTGCCACCCTTAGCTTCAGTAAAAGAGACTCAAATTGTACTAAAGATAGTGGCTCAGCATGACAGCCAGGAAGATGGTATTTTCACACAGAACTGTCAGTGATAGCGGACCGGTCTACTTTCATTGAAGAAGCTGCTGCCATGGCTGATCTCTTGCTCAGGAAATGCTAAGTGCCTGGCCGCCACAGTGACCCTTAGTGAGTCTCTCCTGGTCAGTGTGAAGCCGGTGGCTCAGCATAGCAGCCAGGCAGATGGTATTTTCAGAGTGGCCAATGTCCTTTTCTCTTTTCATTGAAGGGCATCATGAGGACACACCCTGGCGGAACTCTTGCTTAGGAAATGCTAAGTGCCTGGCTGCCACACTGACCCCCCCCCCCCCCAGGCACTAGGTATGTGCTCAGCAGTTCCCCATCAGTGAAGCCAGGGGATCAGCATGGCAGCCAGGCAGATGGTATTTTCGGATAGAGCAGACTGCGTGTTTTTGTATCCTCGCTCAGGAAATGCTGGTTGCCTGGCTGCCATGTACACTGAAGGGGTTTTGCAGTAAGGGCCTCGCCCAGCCTCTGTCCTGGTAAGCGACTTGCATTCTCCCGAAGCCAGCAAACCAGCAGGGCAGCCAGGCAGTCGGCATGTCCACAATCCACCAATCAGCATGGTTGCTGGGGCATGCATGACGCTCAGTCCCGGAAGTGAGTCTCCGGACTCCTCTGAGGTCGCTGCGTGCCGCCCTCAAGCCCGGGACAAGGACACTCTGCGCTCAGCACGTGACCAGCTCTCCGCTGAAGCCCCGCCCACTCCCTGGCAGATTCCCCGCTCTAGCTTCCCAGGCCCCGCCCGGCGTCTGTCCACTCCACCTCCATAAACGTCACCGCGTCGCCGTACGTCACCTCCTCTTCCTGTGAAAGGTCGCTGTGACCGGCGCCGAACTCTCGAGTACTCCAGGCCGCCGCCATGTTTTCTGTGGTCGCCCGTTCCGGAGTGCTCTCCCCGTACCTCTCCGCCTCCTCCTACGCCGTGGCCGGTCAGCTCAAGCCGTTGCTGTCCTCCGGGGGGTGACCGCGCACGAGGACAAGGTGCCGCTGGATGTCCCGAAACCGGCTGACAAGAAGCGGTGCGCCGGGGGGCCCATCTCCGCTACCGCCCGGATCAGCGGTCAGTCCTCGGGGAGGGGTGTCTTACCTTGATATGGACAGTCTTCCAGGCTGGGGGGGGGGGTGTCTACCTAACTTGATATGGAGTCTTCCAGGCTGGGGGGGGGGGGGTGGTGTCTACCTTGATATGGAGTCTTCCAGGCTGGGGGGGGGGGTCTACCTTTGATATGGAGTCTTCCAGGCTGGGGGGGGTGTCTACCTTGATATGGAGTCTTCCAGGCTGGGGGGGGGGGGTGTCTACCTTGATATGGAGTCTTCCAGGCTGGGGGGGTGTCTACCTTGATATGGAGTCTTCCAGGCTGGGGGGGGGGGGTGTCTACCTTGATATGGAGTCTTCCAGGCTGGGGGGGGGGTGTCTACCTTGATATCCAGGTGGGGGGGGGGGTGTCTTCCAGGCTGGGGGGGGGTGTCTCTCCTTGATATGGAGTCTTCCAGGCTGGGGGGGGGGGGTGTCCTCTTGTGGGGGGGGGGAGTCTTCCAGGAGTCTCCAGGCTGGGGGGGGGGTGTCTACCTTGATATGGAGTCTTCCAGGCTGGGGGGGGGGGGGTCTCTTGATATGGAGTTCTTCCAGGCTGGGGGGGGTGTCTACCTTGATATGGAGTCTTCCAGGCTGGGGGGGGGGTGTCCTACCTTGATATGGAGTCTTCCAGGCTGGGGGGGGGGGGTGTCTACCTTGATATGGAGTCTTTCCAGGCTGGGGGGGGGGGGGGGTGTCTACCTTGATATGTAGTCTTCCAGGCTGGGGGGGGGGGTGTCTACCTTGATATCTTCGGGGGGCGGGGGGGGTGGGGGGGGGGGTGTCTACCTTGATATGGAGTCTTCCAGGCTGGGGGGGGGTTCTCTTCCCAGGTTGTGTGTCCACCTTGATATGGAGTCTTCCAGACTGGGGGGGGGGGGGGGCTTCCAGGTTGGTGGGGGGGGTGGTCTCTTCCAGGTTGGGGGGGGGTGTCTACCTTGATTATGGAGTCTTCCAGGCTGGGGGGGGTCTCTTCCAGGTTGGGGGGTTGTCTACCTTGATATGGAGTCTTCCAGGTTGGGGGGGGGTCTCTTCCAGGTTTGGGGGGTGTCTACCTTGATATGGAGTCTTCCAAGTTGGGGGGGGGGGGTCTCTTCCAGGTTGGGGGGGGTGTCTACCTTGATATGGAGTCTTCCAAGGGGGGGGGGCTCTTCCAGTTGGGGGGGGGGTGTCTACCTTGATATGGAGTCTTCCAGGTTGGTGGGGGGGGGTCTCTTCCAGGTTGGGGGGGTGTCTACCTTGATAATGGAGTCTTCCAGGGGGGGGGGGTCTCTTCCAGGTTGGGGGGGTTTGTCTACCTTGATATGGAGTCTTCCAGGTTGGGGGGGGGGTCTCTTCCAGGGGGGGGTGTCTACCTTGATATGGAGTCTTCCAGTTTTGGGGGGGTGGTCTCTTCCGGTTGGGGGGTGTGTGGTCTACCTTGATATGGAGTCTTCCAGGTGGGGGGGGGGGGGTGGTCTCTTCCAGGATGGGGGGGGGTGGTGTCTACCTTGATATGGAGTCACTTTCCAGGTTGGGGGGGGTGGTTCTCTTCCAGGCTGTGAGATCTGGTTTTAGCTGCCTCTCTGTCCTCCCCAGGTCCGTCTTCCATCCGCTTCCTGCACAGCGATGTCACGGTCCCGGAATTCTCCGACTATCGGCGCCGGGAGGTGGCAGACAGCTGGAAAGTCCTCGCAGCCCAGCGACGATTAGGCCAAGGAAGTGCTTACTCTTACTGGTCACCGGCATCACCCACCGCGTGGCCGCGGCCTACATCGCCAAGAACGTGGTCTCCCAGTTTCGTGTCAGCATGAGCGCTCGGCCGACGTCCTGCCCATGTCGAAGATCGAGGTGAAGCTGTCCGAGATCCCGGAAAGGGAAGAACGTGTGCTTCCAGTGGCGGGGAAAGCCGCTGTTCATCCGTCACAGGACGGCCAAGGAGATCGAGCAGGAGGGCGCCGTGCAGCTGAGCGATCTTGAGGGACCCCCAACACGAACCTGGACAGGGTGAAGAAACTTCCGAGGTGGTGGTGGCCATCCTCATCGGAGTCTGCACTCACCTGGGCTGCGTCCCCATAGCCAACGCCGGAGATTTCGGCGGCTATTACTGCCCGTGTCACGGCTCCCATTACGATGCCCCTCCGGGCGGATCAGGAAGGGCCGGCGTCCGCTGCTGAACCTGGAAGTTCCCGAGTACGAGTTTGCAACCGAGAAGACTTGTAATAGTTGGTAGTGGAACGCCGTTTACACTTCCAGGAGGGATTCTGTCTACCGCCGTTATCCGTTATCCGTGTTCCTGTCTTCAATCGCTTTTAAAGATCCGGTGTTCAATATTTTAATAATCCATCACAACACTTAGATATGAAGATCTCTGCTGTGCAGTGTGGAGCGTTAGAGCTGGTCAGCTCCTCTGACCTCCTGTACAAGAAACATTAAATTCTGACTTTACTCTGTAGCCGCCCAATCATTGTGGTGTATTTATTATCCCGTGAATGATTGATGAAACGGCGGGGGGAAGGGGGCATTTATTAACCACTTCAAGTCCCCGGAGACACTTTCACCCCTTCCTGCCTAATTTTCAGCGCTATCACTATCACGTTACGTTGACGCAATTGCGCGGATCTGTCATGCAGCAGCACTGTACCCATATGAATTTTTAAGCATTTTCTTTTTTTTTTGAGACCGATAAAACTTTATTTTGGTGGTATTTATTCACCGCTGGGATTTTTATTTTCAAAATTTTTGGACTTGTTTCATTTATATATATAGCGAAAAAGAAAGTGTTTTTCTTATAAAATTTTGCAAATATTTAATCATACAATCTTGGCCAAAATGTATTCCCATTATTTTTTTATTAGTAAAAACAAATAACCCAAATTAGTTTATAACCAAAAATTATAATTTTTATATATTTTTTTTTTTTATTTTTTTTAACATACCGTCACCCTAACAAGCCAAACATTTTGAAAAAAAAGGGTTTTTCTTATAACATTTTGCAAAATATTTCATCATAAATCTTGGCCAAAATTTATTCCATTATCTTTAGTTAAAAAAAAAAATCCCAAATTAGTTTATAACCAAAAAAAATTATAATTTTTATATATATTTTTATTTTTTTATATTTTTAAATATAATATACCCGTCAACCACCCTAGCAAGCTAAACATTTTTGGGAAAAAAGTGTTTTTCCATATACAATTTTGCAAATAAAAATCTTGGCCAAAAATGTATTCAGTTATCTTTTTAGTAAAATAAAAATAACCCAAATTGGTTTATAACCAAAAATTTTATCATTTTGAAAATTTTTTTACATACGGTCACCCTAGCAGTACAGTGTCACCATAGTGACGCTGTACTACTTATGGGTTGTGGTGTGTTTTATCTTTTTTTATATCTATTTTTTTTTTTTTTTTTTTTTTTTTTACACTGATTGCTTTTTTACACCCATAATAAAGGCTGTAAAAGCGAATCATTTCTCCTTCTCTCTGGCTGCATTCTTGCTGCCATTGAAAAATACTGGGAGCTGTGAATTGGTCACAGCTTTGTCACATGGTACAAGGCTTGTTGTGAATAGCCCCCGAGTACCATGAGACCCTCTGATGATCATTCATTCATATGAATTTTTTTTTAGTTTTTTTTTGAGACCGATAAATCTTTATTTTGGTGGTATTTATTCACCACCACTGGGATTTTTCCTTTTTTTTTTTGCTATTAAATGAAAGTCCCAATTTTGTATTTTTTTTTTGTATTTTTTTTTTAAAGTGTTTTTCTTCTAAAGTTTTGCAAATAATCTAATCTTGGCCAAAATGTATGCAGTTTTCTCTTTTTAGTAACAAAAAAAAACAACCCAAATTAGTTTGATAACCAAAAAATTTTTTTTTTTTTTCAAAAAAATTTTCAAAATTTTCTATTTTTTAAATTAAATATTTGTTTTTTATTTTTTTTAAACATCCTGTCACCCTAGCAGTACAGTGTCTACCATAGTGATTTTTATTTTTTTTATTTATACTGATTGCTTTTACACCCATGTAAAGGGCTGTAAAAGCAATCATTTCTCCTCTCTTTCTTCTCCTCTCTTGCTGCATTCTTGCAGCCATGTGAGAAATACTGTGTGAGCTGTGATTGGTCAGTTTGTCACATGGTACAAGGCTGTAGTGCGGATGGTCCTGTACCCATCTGACATCTGTGATCATTCTCAAGATTTCACATCGTAGTAAGCAATGATGGTCAGAAGTGCTCCTATTTATGTAATCACAGATTGGCCAATCCGTACACACCGGGCACCGGATCGCAGTGCCACACGGCTCCCACAGAGTGCGCACGGAAGGCTCAAAATGGCAGGAGCTGTTTATGAATGGCAACCCGCCCCTGTGGTGCTGCCCACTGTCCGGCCCGTTTATATAGACATGGGCCGGACGGGAAGTGGTTAATGTTTGCACAGCAAGACAATGCTACACAGGAGGAGGTGGGATGAATTTAGGGTCCCTTTAATGTGACCTGAAGGGCCATGCTGTGCAGCAAGCGATCTTGTCCAAGGATTCCAGGTGTGGTGATCTGCACCTGGCTGTACAACCAAATGACAATCAGGCTGAAAAGGTGCGGGACGGGACCGTGCACTGCAGCTGTAAGACGAATCCGCACAACCCGGGGTTACCTGCAGTTAGGAACAGATGTCTGCCTCAGGACACAGATTGCGGACAGCCCTGGCTTTTTTTTTTCTGCCTTGTCCTTCAGTTGTACCTTTTATTATTTATACACAGCTCACAAAATGAAAGGATCACTTTTGAAAAAAACCCATCAGAATCTCAATGGGGAAGAATCTTCTGCTGGATCTCTATACTGACATGGGACGGGGATGGGTGAGGAACGTAAGGTGACGCCCCACATTGTTGGGATGGAAATGATCGACCTACAGAGGACTGAATTCAAAACCAACTCTATCGCGCAAAATCAAAGTGAAGAAATGATGCAGCAGGCGAGTCCATTTTGGTGTGAAAATTTCATTGCATGCAACTCAGAATGATCCTCATTTGTGTAGTTTGTGGTGGCCCCCATGGTGCTTGCTTGTATGCATGCCTGACAACGTCCGGGGAGGCTCCTAATGAGACCACGGATGGTGTCCTGAGGGGAATTTCCCTCCCTGTTCTGGACTCAGGACATCACTGAGCTCCTGGACAGTCTGAGGTGGCAACCTGGTGGCTTCGGATTAGACCGAAACATGATATCCCAAGAGGGGTTCTATTGGATACTTGTGTTCAGGGGAGTGTGGGGGGCCATTCAATGGGTATTCAAATTCCTTCATCCTCCAGGGAACTGCCTGCATACTTCTCCCACATGAGGCCAGGCATTGTCGTGCCACCAGGAGGAACCCAAAGGACCCACTGCCCACCAGTGAGGAACCCAGGACCCATTTTCACCAGGAGGAACCATGGACCCACAATGCACCAGGAGAAACCAAGGGACCATTTTCACAGGATGGAACCCAGGAACCCACTGCACCAGGATGGAACCAAGGACCAGGGCACCAGCGTAGGGTCTGACAATGGATCCAATGAATTTCATCCTGATACCTAATGGCAGGTCTGGGTGTTCATTGTCTAGCACTAGTATAGGTCTGTGGCGTCCCTCCATGGAGATGCCCTCCCCAGACCATCACTGACCACCACCAAAAACAGTCATGCTGAACCATGTTCCAGCAGCGCAGAAACGTTTCTCCTACGGCTTCTCCAGACCCTTTCACGTCTGTTCAACATGTGCTCAGGGGTCAGAACCTGGCTCTCATTCTGTGAAAAGCACAGGGGTGCAAGTGGGTGGACCCTGCCGAATTCTGGTGTTCAATGGCTAAATACCAATCCAGCTCTATTGGGTTGCCGGGCAGTGAGCACAGGGCGCACTAGAGGATGTCTGGCCTCAGGCCACCCTCATGAAGTCTGTTTCTGATTGTTTGGTCCAGGAGACATTACACACCTACAGTGGCCTGCGCTTGCTGGACGGTCATTTTGTAGGGCTCTGGCAGTGCTCATCTGGTTCCTCCTTTGTAAGACTCAAAGGAGCATGGATACCGGTCCTGATTGATGGAGTGAAGGACCTTCTCCGGCCCTGTCCAGCTCTCCTAGAGGAACTGCACTGTCTCCTGGGGGTTGGAAATCTCCTCATGCTCTTGTCTCCTGGAATCTCCTCATGCTCCTGAGGACTGTGCTGGGAGACACAGCTAAACCTTCTGGCAATGGCAGGTATTGATGTGCTGACTCTCCTGGAGGAGCTGGACTGCCTGTGTATAACCTCTGTAGGGTCCAGGTAATGGACTCCATGGCTAACAGTAGTGACACTGACCCTAGCAATGCAAAAAACTAGTGAAAAAAACAGAAAAGATGAGCAAGGGAAGAAAATGTCAGTGGCCCTTCAACTGGAAAAACCATATTCCTGGTTTTGGGGGTCATCTCATTGTTGCGCCACATTCTAGTACACACTGTTGTTAATTTCATTTAACCCAAAGCAGCTGCCTATCTCTGTGAGTGAGAACTGATTACCACCCTCCTCTGGCGACTTACCTGACCCAGTTCATATCGCCAGGCGGTAGTCGCCTAGGTGTGTCACTGACGATGATAGACTTGATTACAAAGTGTTGCTTTCATTTTTTTTGAGCAGTGTATTCACCACACCATGACTTTTGTACATGAGGCCTTGATGAAAGGTTCCTGTTCACATGGGCTTTAGCTTGTGTAGGTGAGAGAAGTGTTGTACGAAGGAAGGCATTACAGGAAGATTTTGCAGCTTTGTTTTTGCCTTTAACCCTTCGTCTGCGCAGCCACCAGGATTGTGTGTAGTTTGCTTTACAGGCGGACGTCGTCCTGCCAGTCAGGTGGAAGCTAGTTGGGTGGCTACATTGCTGTGACCCTGTTAACTTTCCACCGTCAGGTGGTAACGACTTGCTCTATTTGCCTAGACCTGGTTGCTTCCACCGTTCATGGAGCTGCTGTATTTCCTTGAGATGGTTGTGTGTGAAAATCCAGCAGATCAGCAGTTTTTTTTAAATACTCAGCCCAGCCCGTCTTGGTACCAACAAACCATGCCACATTCAAAAAGTCCGCTAAAATCTCCTTTTCTTCCCCATTTGTTTGGGGTTTAATTGACTCTAGGTAACACAAATTGCTAATCAGCCAATCAACGTGATAGCAAGTCAAAATGCATTTAGGCATCTAGATGTGAAGACAGCAACTGCTGACCTATTGG